ATAAGATTTCCTTCAGTAACTCCCCTTGTCGCCCCCTTATGATGCTACGACACTACGTGAAGGACAGAAAAATGGACACTTACCCATGAGTAAAACACTATAGCGGGTCTGGGAAAATGACGAAGTGTCACGCAGAGGTCAGATGCTCCATAGCAATGCATCTGTGAAGAGAACATGATGGAACACTGGTAACACATCTCCAGGCCTCGTGAACAATTTGGTCTGGGTTCAAGTTATGGCCCAGAAAAGACCGACTGGGTGCCAATCCTTAACTGTTTGCATCTGATCATCCAGCAGTTACTGGGTACCTGGTCTTTAAATGATTGGCAGGTCGTGTTTCGAGGCAAACTAGTAGGGTAAAGCTTACCAGGAGCTATGGGAAGGAAATGTTCTCGGCCTACTAACTGTATTCAAAATCAAATGTTCCTGTACCCACCTGAATATAAAAAATATAAATAAAAAAACAGCAGCAGCAGCTTTGTGTGTTGTTAGATATCCAAAATCTTGTGCCATAAGAGTGACAACTGACATGGCCAATAAAATGAATAATAATACTGCACACTGCTATTGATCATGAGCATGCAATAAGCTCTTGGTTGGCTAAGTTGAATCACCTGGTAAATTATTTATCATAGATGAGCCTTATTATATAGGCGAGTGCTATGTTTTCACCCGAGGCCGGCTTCCTTTAAGACCAAGCAGAAGGAAGAGTAATAATTATTAATTAGTTATATTATTATTATAATAATAATAATTGTTGTAATTACTAATTATTACTCTTCCTTCTGCTTGTCTTGAAGAAAGTTGACTTCAGGTGAAAAGGGGATGTGATGTCCTGTGCCATCTTTTACCAACTTCGACGTAAACTCCAGAACTTGAGCCCCTAGGGCAGGTTGTTGTTGCCTTCAACCTCGTTCTGACAGTTCCTGCGACAGAACCATGGACCGTTTCAGTTTCGGCACCTTGGAGAAGGGGGGACCTGCTGCTTGGGTGACAGCTTCTCCTCCATATCAACCTACCATGGCTTTGCGCCGGTGAGAGGCCACTCCAGACCGACAACCAGAGCTCAACTCCATAAGTCTCCTATGACTGATGGGTGCTTTCTACTAGGGGTTAGTGAAGAGTGCATTAGAACAGTACGTCTGAGTGGCTCCCAGATGTCTAAATATTGATTGCAAAATTCCAACTTATTAAAATTTAATAAGGAGATGGATGCTACTCATCTTGTATGATTGCCGTACCCTTCAATATGAACTGGACACAGTGTATGGACCAACACTTGACTGGTGGAATTTAATGTGAATAAATGCCACATTATAGAATGTGAAACAGGAGAAATTAGGCCACACACAACATACAAATTATGTGAGTGACAGGACTTGAAAAAATGCTGACAAAGAGAGATCTTGGGGTGGTCTTGGATGGTAAGCTGTCACCTGAGAACACACACACAACATTTTGCAAGGAGTCTAATGCTACTCTTTCCAACTTCAATCACTTAAATATATGGATGGCAAATATTAAAGAAATTGTTCATGACATTTGTGAGACCAAAACTGGAATATGCAGTGGTTGTATGGTGCCAATATCTTAAGAAACATCAATAAACTGGAAAAGGTGCAGACATCTTGAGGTTATCTTGAGATGATTTCGGGGCTTTAGTGTCCCCGCAGCCCGGTCCTCGACCAAGCCTCCACCCCCAGGAAGCAGCCCGTGACAGCTGACTAACACCCAGATACCTATTTTACTGCTAGGTAACAGGGGCATAAGGTGAAAGAAACTCTGCCCATTGTTTCTCGCCGGCGCCCGGGATTGAACCCGGGACCACAAGTCCAGTGTGCTGTCCGCTCGGCCGACCGGCTCCCGACATGCAACCAAATGGCTTCTGGAACTCAAAAACACAAGCTATGAAGAGTGACTAAAGGTTTTAAATGTACCAAAGCTAGAAGGTAAAAGAAAGAGGTATAGCCATGATCACTACATACAAAATAGTAAAGAGACCGACAAAATTTACATGAGGAGAATTGTTGAAACCTTCAGAGGTCATGGACTCAAGCTAAGGAAGCAAAGCTGCAGAAAAAATATTAGAACGTTTACTTTCCAAATAGTGGGAGACAGAACAAATTAAGTGAGAAGGTGGAGGATGCCAAAACCATTAATAGTTTCAAAGTCTCATATGACAATTTGTCTTTATTAACACATTAACTTTTTATACACACTTTATTAACCCCATCAACCAGGTAACATTTAGGTACATGTGCGTTTATGCAGCTACCCTAGACTATATGAAGGGGGAGTACAGAGTGTGTCAAGAACTGGCCTTGTGATGCTAAAAATCCCCATCACACAGGATGGTTAGTCATACAGGGTCATGTGATCTGCACAGGTTAACTACGGGTGCACTATGAGGATATCAAGGACACATGAGTGAGTAAATTAGCAATGATACTAAAATGTCGCCATTTTGCAGGATGTTTAGTCATACAGGGCCACATGATCAGTAGTCTGCACTGACAAATTTTGGATGCATTATGAGAATACCCTCTAAAACACGAGTTAATAAAGTGATTTCAAAGCTTCAGGTACCTCATGCCGGGGATGTCTGAAGGGGCTAATAACTGGGCATTCGGTGATGTAGTGCGAGAGATCACGGCCCAGCTCCTGCTCACATAGTTTGCACTTGGAGTGCTCAGGATTGGGAGATTTGTCAACTGTAGCCACCTGCCACAGGTAATGGTAACCCAACCACTTGGGCTGGACGGTAGAGCGACAGTTTTGCTTCATACAGATTGACATTCAATCCCCGATCGTCCACAAGTGGTTGGGCACCATTCCTTCCCACCGTCCCATCCCAAATCCTTATCCTAACCCCTTCCATGTGCTATATAGTCGTAATGGCTTGACACTTTCATGATAGTTCCCTTGCCCTAACCAGATCCTGGCAACTATTATCTCGCACAGTCTGGGGAACGTTTTGTGCTGCCCATAAACATAGGTTTCAGATCTGAACAAATCATAGCCTTTTATACTGTCCCTTTCATCTGGTTGTTGGTCTGGAGTGGCCTCTCCAGGGCGCAAAGCCAGGGTAGGTTGATATGGAGAAGCTGTTACCCCAGCAGCAAGTCCCCCCCACCCTTCTCCACAGCGTCGAAAGTCTCCAATGGAAAGGCAAACGCATGGCCTAAGTACCATGTATAATACATCATATATCCCAGATTGTATTTAGCATGGAGTACTGTCTGTGACACTACGTTGACTATATACCTATTACCTGTAGTGCAAGCCAGGTCACAAATGTAAATGCTGTGTGTGCAAGATAAAATGAGTGTACAAATTAGAGACACTGCTGCTGATAATGTACGAAACGTTTTACATGTAACAAAGTTGTACATTTTTGCATGTGCAACTGTAAAACCGAGGCCCATATAAATATTTACATATATGAAAATGGTGGGCGTATACTGGTAGTGATACACACACAGTACTGGTCTCTGTACGTATGCATGTTTCACATTATATAAGATAATAACATAATAAAAACACTGATAATAACAAGATACCATAGATAATAACAAGATAATAACGAACATAAAATAAAAAAAGAAAAATTGCCACCTGGTACCACCACCAAGCACCACCATCACTCATCGCCAGGTTATTGCGGTGAGCTACCCTGCCCTCCAGCTATCAAGACTAGCCACATCTATGACTCCACCACATAGTGGTGAGCACACCGAGCGCACACAGCTCAACCACAGTGCGTGTGTAGAAAATTGATTGTGATAGTCATGCTTCCAGGATGCTAATTAACATTACAAGACAAAACAATTTTTTGGAAATTGTTAGTTTGTGTGTGCATGTGGGGACAGGACTATAATACAGTAGTGGAATGCAGTTTGAAGATTAACACTCTGTGACTAACTCTTTTTGTATGACATTGTCTTTCTCCTGATAACATTGAGTACAACAGTGTTTTAAACCCTAAAACTGAATTGTACAGTATAATCATACTGGTTAGGCTCTTTACCTTGATAATTATTTCCTTGTAAGTGCAAGATGCCGTCACTACAGTATTTATTTACACACACACACACATCTTGTACACAACATGTTACAAAAAATATGTACAAAAATACTGTATTAGGCCAGATTTGCCTAACAAGCAGAGTGATTTTTGTTATTTTCAAATATTTCTTTCCATATTACTTTATTCCAATTAATATTATTATATTATATTTAGAATATGAATTACTAACCTAGGATAGGTTAAGTAGGTTAGGTTTGATCAAAATTCCATGTTAGTTTTAACTCAATTTAAAATCATCAAATAACTCAAAATCATATATAATGTAATGGAAAGCCTAATCATTCCATAAGAAAAAAATGAAAAATATAATATTTCAAGAAAATTCAGCTTGTTAGCCAACTTGGCCTATTGGGTATAACATATACATATATATATACACTGCATGTATGTACCCAATGATACATACTGATTGTATGTACAGGTATGTGTGTGTGTGTATAAATAGATAGATATATACATATAAGAGCGAGATGTGCGAAGGGCATTTCTGACAATTTAAATGCTACCACTTGAACTGTTATTTGATTCTATTGGTAACAAAACAGAATTTACAGGATGTAATTTTGAAAACCAAAGAACTTCGTTGAATATTACATCATTTAGAAATGTGTATTTTTAGGCACACTGTTCAAGGCTTATTATATCAACGAACAACAATTTTCCTGTAGATAGCAGAAAATAACATTACACATTGAAAGGGTTAAGAGTGAGGTGGCCAGCTCTAACAACCGCTGGGGCTCCAGTGGGGCTGTCACGTGGCGGCAGACGAGGCAGTTGAACATTGGTCATTAGTTCGTAATGACTCTTGATGATGTTCAAGATGGCAAGAGTTGTGTGCAAGTAAAACCTTAAACAATCTCCAAGATTACTGGTCTTTCTGTCCATTGCTACAGTTTAGTAAATGAACAAATCCACAAAGGCCGTGACGAGGATTCGAACCTGCGTCTGGGAGCATCCCAGACACTGCCCTAATCGACTGAGCTACGACAGGGTTCTCTCCAGTTTAGTATTTTGTTACAGCCTGGATGGGCTCGATTCACAGCTAGGGCAGCTACTGAATGGTCCTTGCTCAGAAACGCTTAGTTTTAACTTTAAAGACATTGAATGTGGTTTTTAAGTGCAGTTTTGTTAACCAGACCACACACTAGAAATTGAAGGGACGACAACGTTTCACACAATCGACTTGAGAATGGTCCAGGACGGACCGAAACGTCGTCGTCCCTTCAATTTCTAGTGTGTGGTCTGGTCAACATACTTCAGTCAGCCACGTTATTGTGACTCATCGCCTGCAGTTTTGTTAGTTCATACTCTAATGTCCTTTGGACATTCATACTTATATCTAAGTCTTCCCTTAATGTAATTATCTTAAGATTATACTATTATTTATCAGAAAAACTTCCAGAACACTCAAGACAATGGTAAGGTTTGTCTTCTGTATGAATCACTGAATGTCCCAATATGTTACATTTTCCCTTAAGATTTCTGAGACACTGTGAAGGATCATATTTCTTTTTGGTATGAACCCTCATATGTCTTGTTAAATAAGGTTTGTATGAAAAGCTTTTAGGACATTCTAAACAATGAAAAGGTTTCTCCCCTGAATGGGCCCTCTGATGTGCAATGAACTCTCCTTTTCTTATAAATTTTTTGGGACATTCTGTACAATGGTATGTCATCTCACCTGTATGACCTTTAAAGTGAGTCACATATGTATGTCTGTCTGAAAAGTCTTTAAAACACACTTCACACTGATATGGTTTTTCACCTGTGTGAATTCTCATGTGATTTATGAGCGCATATTTGTATGTAAATAATTTCAGGCACTCATTACATTGATATCGCTTTTCTCCTGTATGAACCTTCATGTGCTTTATTAAACCTGTATTCAGTGCAAATTTTTTAAGGCATACCATACATTGATATGATTTCTCTCCGGTATGATACACCATGTGTGTTTGCATGTCACTTTTTCTTAAGAAGCACTTAAGGCACAATGGACACTGATGTGGCTTTTTCCCTGTATGTATCCTCTCATGTTTTACTAAATTAGATTTTTCTGAAAAAAATTTAAAACACTCCAGACATTGGTATGGCTTCTCTCCGGTATGAACTCTAGCATGGACGGCCAATTCGTATCGTCGTTTAAAACCTTTATTACACTCGAGACACTGAAAAGGTTTCTCTTCCGAATGGGTCTTCGTATGTTTTGCCAAAGATGAATTTGTTGGAAAACTTTTAAAGCATACAGGACATGGGTAAGGTCTTTCTCCATTATGTATTCTAATATGCCCAAGTAGATCTGAATTTAGCGTAAAGCTCTTGCAGCATTCTGAACACTGAAAACGCTTACGTCCTGTGTGAACCATCATATGTATTTCTAAAGCACTTTTCTGTTTGTAGATTTTATGACACATTGAACACTGGAAAGGCTTCTCTTTATGCATATTTATATGTCTTTCAAGACTAAATTTAGTTGCCAAGCATTTAGAACATTGTGGGCATTCGTACTGGGCTTTTCTTGTATTATCCGCCATGGTGCACTCAAGCAGATCTCTGTAAGATGTTAAACAATGAAAAGGTTGTCTATACACAAATTAAAATTATGTTGTTTAATAATAGTGAATTTTCAAGTCCACTAAGGGCTCACCATAGCCCGTGCTACTTGGCGCTTTTTGTTCCGAGTAGCTGAATCTAACATTACAACATAGTGTATTTAAATATCTGAAACACAATTATCAATACTGAAGTGTGTCTTCATGTACAACACCATAATAGTTCTTCTGAAGTATCTGAAACACAAAAAGGATAATAAGTTTTTGTCTTATCTTTACATACATTCCTAGTCCCATTTATAGGAATATAAATCTTATTATTGTTGCAATAATGCTTTAGATTAAAACAAAACATTTAATAGCAGTAACTTGCTACTAAAAGTTCTATGAAAGTATTTTGTCTTTACAAGTAATTTGTCCTACCCATGAACCCTCCTTTTACTTTTTGGGGCCCACTTAGGACAAGTAAGAATTCACAGTGGAATATTACCGTTGTGCAGCAGCGGAGTTTAGCATCAAGATATTTCTCTGTCCCTCACTTGGCTCGCCTCACTCTTCTTTCTGGGGAGAAAAGTAATTCAATAGTGGATATAGTCAAGTTATGATGGGTAGAAATGATATAATTTTCTAAGTGCAAGTGTAAATACAATCAGATTTGCTGGTGCAGGAAAAGTGGAGAAGAGAATATCATGTGGAAATAGCAAACATGCAGGTGTAGATGCTACATAGTGCAAAAGAAGAAAAGGGTGAATAAATAATACAGTATACAGAAAATAAAAATGCAATGGATGGAGAAATTTCTGGGCAATTTCTCAAAGTGCAGCTATGATAGATTGTCAAGGTTATATTAACAACGTATAAAAGGCCAAATGTAATGAACAAGAACTATAGAGGTCCTTTAGTCCTGTGGTATACGTTCTCGACTCGCAGTCGGTTCAAGGATGGTCGGCACTTAGCTTGAAGTGATGGGGTTTGCCCGCAACTGGTGAACTGGAACACTAGAGGCAGAACTATCATCTGCCACATCAGCAATAGAACAGAGATGGGAAACCGGCTGAGGTCTGGAGGTGGTAACTGGTACTAATGAATTTCAAGTTAGTTTGAGTGAATACCTCATTCTGTGTGAATCGTTTTCAAAGTTGTTTCAGTTTTGAGGTTCCATTTTTTGTGAACCCTTCAGTTGTCTGTAAAGCTTCGCCGACTTTCTGGAGGCTTTTTCCAGAGGGGTGGTAGATTGTCACTCACTCCCTGCACCTCTGAGGGGCGGCCAGGTTCTAGCTCTGGTTCCCGGTAGGCCAAACAGAACTTCTACAATTACTGTAATGTAACCAGGAAGCAATCTCAGCAAGATAGCTTGCTGAGGGGCCTGACAGCTGAGCGGACAGTGCTTCGGATTTGTAGTCCTGAGGTTCCGGGTTCGATCCCCGGTGGAGGCAGAAACAAATGGGCAGAGTTTATTTCACCCTGATGCCCCTGTTACCTAGCAGTAAATAGGTACCAGGGAGTTAAACCTGGTTGATACCTGGTTGATGGAGTTCTGAGAGTTCTTCTACTCCCCAAGCCCAGCCCAAGGCCAAGCTTGACTTGTGAGAGTTTGGTCCACTAAGCTGTTGCGCAGCAGCCCGCAGGCCCACAAATCCACCACAGCCCAGTTGGTCCGGCACTCCTTGGAGAAAATGATCTAGTTTTCTCTTGAAGATGTCCACGGTTGTTCCGGCAATATTTCTTATGCTCACTGGGAGGATGTTGAACAACTGTGGACCACTGCACTTACGAACAACGTATATGCAGTGGTCCTCTTAAAGCTTTTAAAGATTCCTTGACGTCAACCACCTTCAGTGATTCCCTTAATGTGTCTCAGTTTCTTAAAAACTTGAGACAAACTTGAACAATTACACAAGTTTGCTAGTGCTAATTTACTGACCTCCCAACATACGATGAAACCACACTGACAAGAACACTAAAGTAAGAAAGTTTAATGTAGGAGACTTCGTTCTAGCCTATTTTCCTATCCCAACCTCTCCATTTAAAAGTAAATTTTCAGGACCTTATCGCATCAAAGAATGCAAGAACAACAACAACTACATTCTAGAAACTCTGGACCAGCGTCACAAGACAACTCCGTCACGTCAACCTGCTCAAGAGTTATCAAGGTAATCCGCCACCAGTGTTATTATCTGTATCCATTTTTACCTAGAGGTATCCCAACAGTGATACATACCCTGCTACCTCTCCATCCGATGGTAAAAATACCATCGAGACCATGAAGTCTAACAGTGAGATCTTAAAAGATCTTCCCAAATACCTAGAACATTCTAACAATAGTGCTCCTATGATTAAACTGCTTTCTACCCATAAAAACCTGTTTCAAGACACTCCACAGGAATGTAATTTAGTGCAACATGATATCCAGCTACTTCCTGATACGATGCTCATCCGTCAACCTTACTATCGCATCAGTTTACAGAAGAGAGAAGCCATGTTCGTAGAAGTAAAGTACCTACTCAGCAATGGATTAGCTACACTTTATGAGTCTCCTTGGGCTTCACCATGCATACTGGTTCCCAAACCATATGGCAAGGTAAGGCTGTGCACCGATTATAGGAAGTTAAATGTAGTTACCATCAAAGACTCTTATCCTTTACCTCGCATCGACGACATCTTAGATGCAATAGGTAACGCCACCTATGTGTCCCAAATAGATCTCTTAACCACCGTGCTGCGCAGAGTTTATTGTGAAATTCCCCCGGTACGCATGAAATAAAGTATTCCCCAAAAATTATTTTTTCTTCGTAAAATGATAAATTACCTTCCCTGAACATGTCTATGCAAAAATAAACACCAAATTCCAATTACTTTGGCTGTGGGGAGGTGGACAAGGTGCGCTGTGACGTCATCAGGGCCTGGTCGCCCGTGCGTGAATCGCCCAGACACGGTCGCGCGGGCCATTCAAGTACCGGGTGTTGCCACAAATATATTTTCAATTATTTGTTTTATGTATTTCCAATGCGGTTTTATTTTTTTTTTTTTTTATTTTATATGATGCATATTTGTGTCCTTTACAATATGTATACAGTAGAACATTCATAATGTTCCTTGGAACTGTGATACATGTGTCAGTAATGTGTCCACAATAAATGTTTATTGTCGCAATATTACCTGTTAAAAATTCACTAAAATTACAATATATATAGTTTCACACACTATTTAGCAGTACCACACTGTATTACACACTCAGTACTTCGGAAGTGAGTAATAATCAACAAAGTAGCCCATGGTACACAGCGCAACTTCGCTCTCAGTGCACCAAGTACAGATAAATTTTTGCTTCCCTGTTTCTTCATTCTGTGTGCTTGCAAATAACGCACTCACGTACACCCTTGGCTTTAGTACTTGTAGGTTGTATGTAGCCAAGCTTGTAAAGCATAAGGTAGTATTGAAAAGATTATGGGAAAAGATCAATTTGTAAGGTAGTTTTGAAAAGAACGCTTTGTATAGTCCCACACAAGAAGAGATTCAACTTACCTCAAGAGTGTCCGTCAGTCAGGAAAAGATTCAGCTTACCTCAAGAGTGTCTGTCAGTTAGGAAGAGATTCAGGTATTCTTGAAAATATCTATGGAAAACACCATGAAAGCCGCTAACACTGTTCATCTATGCTATTTGTATCAGATGCATCATCACTGAACGCAGAAAACGATTCATCTATGTATCATCTAAATAAATTGTAGATAGCATAGGATTGCAAGGGTGACGCTCAGAGCTACAACTGGATACGCTCGCTGTATCGTCCTCATAGGTGCTGTATCACCTGCATCCGAACTTTGTGTTAGGTCCTTATTGCGCCTAGCTTCCCCAATATTATGACCCTTATGTTCTTCAAACAATAAGGTTTGAATTTCACCAACAGAGGGTTATCTTTCAAGACCGCGTCGGACAGGTGTTTGGGAGCCAGAGGCGCGTGCGCCACCCATGGTTACTCATTCAGTACTAACCCAGCCAGCAGCCCTAGGGCATTCTGGGAATTTTTTCCAAGATGGCTGCCTCTCACTGGAGGTCCTAAGAGTCCATTTTGTACACAACCAACCTCGTACACATTTAGAATTGGTACCGAAAAATCAAAGAGAGCTTTCTCGGTTGGCGCAGTTTCCCGCCGACCGAGAATACCTGTACTCAGTTGGCGCAGTTAAGTGGTCAAAGGGATACTACCAAATCAAACTGTCTCGAGCGTGCTAAAGATATCTCAGCCTTCATCACTCCTTTTGGCGTTTTTTTATATGAATGGTTACCTTCTGGACTTAGCAATGCCCCAGCTACTTTCCAGCGAGCTGTCAACCTCGTCATTCAAGATCTTGACAACACCTATGCCTACCTGGACGACATCATTGTAGCAATCAACTCGTGGGAAGAACATCTTGACCGACTACAACGACTATTCTACAAGCTTCTCCAGGCTGGTCTCACTATTAATTTGGGCAAGTCCACGTTTACTAAAGGTAAAGTATAATACCTTGGACATGTTGGCCAATACCAATACCTTGGCCAGGGGGAGCCGGTCGGCCGAGCGGACAGCACGCTGGACTTGTGATCCTGTGGTCCTGGGTTTGATCCCAGGCGCCGGCGAGAAACAATGGGCAGAGTTTCTTTCACCCTATGCCCCTGTTACCTAGCAGTAAAATAGGTACCTGAGTGTTAGTCAGCTGTCACAGGCTGCTTCCTGGGGGTGGAGGCCTGGTCGAGGACCGGGCCGCGGGGACACTAAAGCCCCGAAATCATCTCAAGATAACCTCAAGAAGATGTTATAGGCAGTGGAAGCTTAGCACCTTATGACATACATCTTCAAGCCATCCAAAAATATCCACAGCCCACTTCTCGTAAACAACTTATGCGATTCTTGTGACTAGCGTCTTACTACTGTAGGTTCTGCAAGAACTTCAGCATAGTTGCCACACCTTTAATAAATCTAACCAGCCCTAAAAGGAAATACATTTGGACCAACTCACAATCCATTCCCTTAGAACAATTGAAAACTTTGCTGTGTACTAACCCTATTCTTGCCTCTCCAGATGTCAAACAACCCTTCATCCTTAATGTTGATGCCAGCAGCACTGGCATTGGGGGTGTCCTGATGCAGCAAAGAGAGGGGAAAGTCCTACCAGTCAGCTACTACAGCTACAAGTTGAAGCCTCACCAACAAAATTTCAGCACAATAGAGAAGGAGCTACTCGCCATCGTCCTATGCTTGCAACAATATGAACCTTACCTTCAAGGACACCAACCCATCACCATCTATTCCAACTTAATCTCTTCACAAACCTATAGAATAATCACTGACAATTCAACTGACCACTACCCTACCTATCTTGTAATCAAGATTAGCAATCCTCCACTAGAAACATTAAAGATTAATTTTAGACTGCATACTGATGCTTCCGTAAGCAAATGTGTTGTCGCTGCTGGTGACAAACTGGGGACTGAACTTGGTACAGTAATTTGGAGAACATCAACCTAGATTTACAAAAATTTCTTCATAAAACTCTAAGGTTCTATAATACTCTACCATCCCATGTTATCTTGAAGTTATCTTGAGATGATTTCGGGGCTTTAGTGTCCCTGTGGCCCGGTCCTCGACCAGGCCTCCACCCCCAGGAAGCAGCCCGTGACAGCTGACTAACACCCAGGTACTTATTTCACTGCTAGGTAACAGGGGCATAGGGTGAAAGAAACTCTGCCCATTGTTTCTCGCTGGCGCCCGGGATCGAAATCGGAACCACAGGATCACAAGTCCAGCGTGCTGTCCGCTTGGCCGACCGGCTCGGCTCCTCCTGACTTGTTAACTAAACAAGTCACAACCAAAAGAATCAACAGCCCTCAGCTTACTAAAGGCTTACTCAAATCAATCAATATGAAACATGAATATGAGAAGACATACAGGATAGTGGTAATTTTCTATCCTTTTATAAAAGGATAGGAATTTCCAATCCTATATAAAAAAAAAGACTTGGGATGGGATGGGGGGGGGAAGGAATGGTGCCCAACCACTTGTGGACGGTCGGGGATTGAACGACGACCTGCATGTAAGGGCTGTAAATACACTATACAGTATAGCCATTACAGTTTCAACAATAAATGTTATCTAATTTGATATTAAAAAAAATAAAAATTGATTATGCACCGTTTTAACGTAATTACGTGTTACAAACAAAGGTTACAGTGCATTGTTAAAAAAAATCCGACAGCAAAGCCCAGTGATTTGGAAATTAGTGTAATAAAACTTGTACACGATTCTGGCCAAATCACAGAGGGATTCATGCCGAGGACCGAAAAAGTGTGTTGACGCTATTTGGGATTCTGGAAAGATGTACTCACCTAATTGTGCTTGCGGGGGTTGAGCTTTGGCTCTTTGGTCCCGCCTCAGGCCTCATGTGCTAACGCACACAGGCCAGTGGATTGCTGTGTTATCATGGGGTGCTGTGTTATCATGGGGTGCTGTGTTATCATGGGGTGCTGTGTTATCATGGGGTGCTGTGTTATCATGGGGTGCTGTGTTATCATGGGGTTTTGTGCTCTATGGACACAATTTAAACAAAGCAAAGCAAAGTGACTATTTTGCCCAAAGAATATTTGCTAAAAATGTGACATTACAGGTTCCAGGAAGATTGTTTTGGACCCTAGTGCCTGAATTTGATGCCCATCAGACAAATAATAATATTATTATTATTATTAAATACTAATAATAATAATAATAATAAACTGTCGAGGTACAGGCAGCCAGTGTTAGATTATAGATGTTATACTCCTATATATGTTACGATTATATCAAGTCCCCCCCCCCCCCAGAGTCAAAATGCTGACCCCTACCCCCTGCCCCCCCCTCCACCCCCACCCAGGAGGCAACCCCATAACAAGCCGACTAACTCCTGGGCACCTAGTTACTGCTGGGTGAACAGGGGCATTTGGCGATAGAAAACGCTCCCAACCCTTACTGTCCTGCCTGGGATTCGAACCCAGAAGTATCGATTATACGTTAAGAAGGAACCCAACTGTACTCCCCTTCGACCTGATGCCTCTGTTCACCACCTAGCAGTAAATAGGTACCAGAGAGTTTGTCGACTGTTGTGGGTAGCATGGAAGGAAGGTCAGCAATAGGCATAGGGAGCAAGAGAGGCACAATTCAGTCTGCCTGTCCCTCACAACGTGTAACCAAACCAGCTGTACAACCCACAGTTCACAATTACAACTCCCGTGACACTTAACAACCGCTTGAACTACATACCTTGAGTGTTGGAGTTGTGGGTACGAGTTGCTTGTAGAGGGCAGGTGTGGAGTAGACAGGTGTGTGGTGTATGGAAGGAGGAGGAAGAGGCGGCGGCGAGGTGTGTGTAGTCAGGTGTGTATCAGACCAGCCGGTGGTCGCTTACACTCCCTCGCCATCACCCCCTCAACAACATCATCAATATAAAGAATAATAATCATTTTGATTTCAACAAAAGTATATACATAATTATTTTTAATTAACAAGCTTTGGTATATATACAACAATGTACTACTATTATATATTATAAATATTCTACCCCCCAGTGTTTCACTCTCGTACACCAATATACCTGTGCTACACCAATATATATATATATATATTGCTGTACATATATACAATATGTATATACATATATACAATATATATATATATACAATATATATATATATATATATATATATATATATATATATATATATATATATATATATATATGTCGTACCTAGTAGCCAGAACGCACTTCTCAACCTACTATGCAAGGCCCGATTTGCCTAATAAGCCAAGTTTTCCTGAATTAATATATTTTCTCTAATTTTTTTCTTATGAAATGATAAAGCTACCCATTTCATTATGTATGAGGTCAATTTTTTTTATTGGAGTTAAAATTAACGTAGATATATGACTGAACCTAACCAACCCTACCTAACCTAACCTAACCTATCTTTATAGGTTAGGTTAGGTTAGGTAGCCGAAAAAGTTAGGTTAGGTTAGGTTAGGTAGGTTAGGTAGTCGAAAAACAATTAATTCATGAAAACTTGGCTTATTAGGCAAATCGGGCCTTGCATAGTAGGCTGAGAAGTGCGTTCTGGCTACTAGGTACGACATATATATATATATATATATATATATATATATATATATATATATATATATATATATATATATATATATATATATATATATATATATATATATATATTTGGGATATATACAAGAGTTGTTACATTCTTGTACAGCCACTAGTGACTCTCTATTACTCCCTTATCTATCCATATCTCAACTATGGTATTTGTGCTTGGGGCTCTACTACCCAAAATCACTTACGTCCTCTAATTACTCAACACAAAGCTGCTATTAGGATGTTTAGATTCAGATTCAGATGTTTATTCAGGTAAGGTATATACATACAAGTGATGTTACATTAATGGATTGATATATAGATAGAGCTAGTACATACAATGCCTAAAGCCACTATTACGCAATGCGTTTCGGGCAAGAAAAACATTAATATCTAGAACTTAATACTAATTGAGCATAAAGAATAAAAGATGTTGAGAACAAATACAAATAAAGATAAAAAAAAAGGGGGAACATGACTGAAAAAGCAGCACAAATACAATAGGTTGACAAACAGTGTTGATTAAAAAAAAAGAAAAAAAAGAAAATAACAGACATGGGTTGACAATAGAGGAGTGAGGTAGATTACAGGGAATTTATTAGGTAGTGTTTAGTTTTTATCTTAAACTGGTTGAGAGAGGTACAGTCTTTAACATGGTTGGGAAGGTCATTCCACATTCTGGGCCCCTTGATTTGCAGAGCATTTCTAGTTTGATTAAGACGTACTCTAGGAATATCAAAACTGTATTTATTTCTGGTGTGGTGCTCATGGGTTCTGTTACAACCTTCTATGAAGCTTTTAAGATCAGGATTGGCATTATAGTTTAGCGTTTTATATATGTATAATACACATGAGAGAATGTGCAGTGACTTAATATCTAACATATTAAGAGATTTGAGTAGGGGTACCGAGTGATGTCTGGGGCCAGAGTTGGATATTGTTCTAATAGCGGCTTTGTGTTGGGTAATTAGAGGACGTAAGTGATTTTGGGTAGTAGAACCCCAAGCACAAATACCATAGTTGAGATAAGGATAGATAAGGGAGTAATAGAGAGTCACCAGAGCAGGGCGTGGTACATAATATCTGATCTTAGAAAGAATGCCCACAGTTTTTGAAACTTTTTTTGATATATTTAGAATGTGTCCCTGGAAATTCAGCTTGTGGTCAATGAGAATGCCAAGGAATTTGCCATCTAATTTGTTACAAATTTGGGTATTGTTTATTTTGAGATTTATAAGACTAGAGGATTTATTGCCAAACAGAATATAGAAGGTTTTGTCAATGTTAAGGGTGAGTTTGTTGGCAGTTAGCCAAAGATGGACTTTATTTAGCTCAGTATTTACTGTGGCATTTAGAGCAAGAGGGTCAGGACTGGAGTAAATGAAGGTTGTGTCGTCAGCAAATAGAATTGGTTTGAGGTGTTGGGAGGCATTTGGAAGGTCATTAATGTAGATGAGAAAGAGGAGAGGGCCAAGTATGCTGCCCTGAGGAACACCAATGTTGATGGGTAGGGTGGGAGAAATTGTATTATTCACAGAAACATATTGGAGCCTGTCAGTAAGGTAGGACTCGAGGTATTGTAGGGAGTGTCCTCTGACTCCATAATGATGTAATTTAAGAAGAAGGTTTTGGTGGTTGACAGTATCAAAAGCTTTACGCAGGTCCACAAATAACCCAACAGGGAGCTCCTTTTTATCAAGAGCTGTATGAATCGAGTTAAGCATACTAATAAGTGCATCGTTAGTGCTTTTTTTGGGTCTGAAGCCATATTGGCAAGGGCTAAGTATATTGAGTTTGGCTAGATATGAGTAAAGCTGCTTGTATATAAGTTTTTCAAAAATTTTTGACAAGTTTGGCAGGATTGATATAGGTCTGTAGTTGTTAACATCTGTGGGGTCACCACATTTGTGGACAGGCGTTACTCTCGCTTTTTTTAGAATATCTGGAAAGGTTTGGAGTTCAAGTGACTTGTTGAAGAGCAAAGCAATAGCAGGGGCTAAAGATCTGGAGGCTTTTTTGTAAATTAAAGTTGGTATCTCCTCAAGGGCACCAGACTTGGTTTTAAGGGAAAGGATTATCTCATTGACGTCAGTGGAGTTAATAGGCTTTAGGTACAGAGACTGTGGATAGTTACCTGTAAGATAGTCCTTAATGTCAGTACTGGAAGATGGAATATCATTTGCAAGGGATGAACCAATGGAAGAGAAGAACCTATTGAACTCAATAGCAGAATCAGAGGCTGAAAGCTGACCATCGTTATTAGACAGGAGAGTCGGTTTGTTATTTAAAGATTTCTTTGATCCCAATATTTGTGAAATTGTGCTCCAAGTTTGTTTAATGTTGCTCTTTATTTGAGTAAATTTATCTTCGTAGTAATTAGTTTTGGCTCGTCTAATTATCTTAGTTAGCAATAATGAGTAATTCTTTGAGAATTCTTTGGAGACAATTCCTAACCTATACTTCTTCTCAAGGTCGTGTTTTTTGTTAATGGATTTCAGTATTCCCTTTGTAATCCAAGGATTGTTAAGCCTTTTGCTTGTGACTTGTTTTGTAAGCCTAGGACAGTGGGTGTTATAAAGGCTAAGAGTTGTTTGTAGAAAAGATTGCACTGTTTTGTCTGTTTTTTTCTTTAAAGAGCGCTGTTTGTCGACATAATTGTATTTGTGCTGCTTTTTCATCTATGTTTTAATTTCTTGTTTTCATTCTACTCAATTAGTATTAAGCTTGTCATTTAAGTTTATCATGCCTGAAACGCTTTGCGTAATAGTGGCTTTAGGCATTGTATGTACTAGCTATACCTATAAGTTAAACAATCCTTGTAAATATTTATTGTATGTATGTACCTTACCTAAATAAAATTGTATTGTATTGTATTGTATACTATAATGGGCTCAGGGACTGAACCCCACAATTCATTTACCTAAGCAAGTTATAATCTTGATGAACTAGATACAGTGTTTATTGGATTTTGATATTTGTTTAGTAGTTTTGGTTACAGCAGTGTCGTGGATGTTGAGGAGTTGTTTTATCAGTCTCCGTGGTGTAGTGGTAAGACACTCGCCTGGCGTTCCGCGAGCGCTATGTCATGGGTTCGTATCCTGGCCGGGGAGGATTTACTGGGCCGGTCCCTGGATTTATTCCAGGGACCTGCCCGAAACGCTACGCGTACTAGTGGCTCTACAAGAATGTAACAACTCTTGTATATATCTCAAAAAACAAAAATAAAAAATTAAGGCAGCGTCTGGGATGATCTCGGACGTAGGTTCGAATCCTCATCACGGCCCGTGTGGATTTGTTCATTGATGCATCACGCTATTGTGATTTCTGTGTGTAATGAAGTAAGGGTGAAGAGGTATCTCACCTACCTTGAGGTGATTTCGGGGCTCAGCGACCCCACGGCCCGGTCGTCGACCAGGCTGGACCTGGGTTGTTGCTGGACTGGTCAACTAGGCTGTTGGACGTGGCTGCTCGCAGCCTGACGTATGAATCACAGCCTAGTTGATCAGGTATCCTGTATCCTTTGTAAGTAGAACGGCCTATTGACATAGCTCGAGTGCATGGGGGAGTTGTGTAAAACCCTGGTTTGTGTCTCGGAGAGGCTACAGGATCCAAGTTAGATACAACTTCTGGTTTCAACTCTTGACCATGTTGTAGCTCAGTCAATTGAGGCAGCGTCTGGGATGATCTCGGACGTAGGACCCCTTAACCGCACCAGCCAACAAAAGTCGTTCCGAGTTATTATTTTTTAAATTAGGCTATATTTTAATGTTTTCATCACTGTTTTTTGAAATGAAAATAGTTGAGTTTGGAAACATTTTGATATTAACTTCACCTGAACATTTATAAAAACAAAAATATGTCCTTAACAATTGCACTATAAAGTTTTTGCCAAAAATAGATGCGCAGTGCAGGGACTAATGCGAATGACGGACACATGGTTAGCTGTATGAAAGACGTCCATTCACTGAATAGTCCCCAGTGGCTAACTCTTGTCAAGGAATGCTTGTGAACCATAACTTCCTGTCATTCTGGTAATCAGGCCATTCAGTTAAAATATGAAAGATAATAAGTGGGACAAATAAATCAGACCTATAAGGGGCAGGTATCCTTTCCATCAAACGACCACAAAGTACACGTGGTCCTCAAAATGAGGCCTTCTTCTAAATTGTCACCCTGACTACAAACAATTAAATATTATTTGACTTTTTTTCTTATAAAATGGTAGAATCTGTAACCAAAAGTATGGAAAAAACACCTTACATCATATTTTCACTCA